TATTGTACGTTGTTCCAGAAGATAAATTTTTTGCAGTGCTTTGCGGTTGGTAAGACACTTGATTTCCATTGTCCTTTGCATTTTCAGAGTGCAATGTTGACACCAAAAACATTTTGAAATTTACCGTAATCCTATGATTCTAATATCCCAGCGATGCAATGCAAAGTGCAGAGAATGGCCTCCGTTTTACTGGGTTAAGTGGCAATCCTTTGAATTCTGATTTTATTGTTGTTTTTAAAGTTCTTTTAGTTAAAATTTTTAAGAGAAAAATTCAGTACCCACTGCCTAGTGAGCAGAAAAAAATTTTAATTCGCTTCTAGGACTTCAACAATTTAATTCCATGGGTCATAATTTTTTCTTGAAATTGCTTTAGAGTCAAAAACGATAATTAACGTTTTTTAAAAAAGATTGGTTAATTATATTGTGTTTCAAAGCATATCGTTAAGAAACTTGTTAAGAGGTAATACCATACTAAATATAAAATACTTCGTATTTCAATTAATTTTAGTATTTCCTTTTTGTATTTGGTATGCTATATCTTCCTATCATAATGAACTTATTAAATAATTCAAGAAAGTATTTCTGAAAGAGAAAAATGTAGGAACGATACTTATATTCAGATACGACTCACATCATCCTTCCCACATCATCCTCCTCACATTTTATCTTACATTTGACTTAATGTGCTCACAACATTTTAGATTACGCATAACATTTAAGATTAATCAAATATAGTTCCATAAAAACTTTGAGCCAAACTTCACCTATAAACGATTAATACTCAGAGTAAGTGAATGATGCACACTGCATCACTCACTGTTAAAATTCACTTGATTTTTCGCTAAAATGATATTTTATACGATATCACTTTTTATAAATTTGTTTAAAAAACAATAGAACAAAAAGTAAGTATTAAACTCAATTTTCAGTTGGATAAGTAGGGACCTATCAAAACGAATGTATGTGTTGCGTACAGACTTTCCATTGATTTAGTCGAATGATGGTTGAGAATTCTATGAGGACCTTAAAGACGACGACCGAGTACTGTTACCAAAATCCACAAAATATTATTTAAATAATCAGTTTATAATGTCTAAAAGATTGTAATCGATTAAATTGATTTATTGACTGTAATATTTTGACCAAACTTTATTTGAAACTTTCTTTAAACGATTCTAAGACTAGCCGGGATTATTGACTGGTTACTGTAGATTGAATAATTATCTAACGAAATTAGAAAGTGAATTCAACTCAGACTGCATATACTGTAGAGAAGAAAAAGAAACTGAATACCATGTGCTTGTGGAATGCCCGGCACTAATGCACAAGCGGAAGGAACACTTAAAAGGATATTTCATGGATCATAAGCATTCAAGACTAGAAAAGATAGGTTCTATACTTTATTTCATTAAAGAAAGTGGACTTGGAAAAATACTCTAATCCGACTAAGGGGAAAAATGGGTCTTTTAGGTCGCAATGCACTACCCCTTTTCAAATAATAATAAGACTAGCCGATTCGGTTGCTGGCTGCCGATTCTATGATGAATGTAAGGATCTTGAAGACGATTTGCCATCACCACAACTCACAAAATAGTATTTAAATCAGTGATTCTCATCCGGTGGTCCATAAAATGGTTAAAAATGGTCCACAAAAAATTTCCAAGTAAATTATATACCTATTTTATAGCCTATGCACTGGTACAATTTATTATAAATTAAGCCAGAGATGCATAAAGCATATTAAAATAATCATACAGTTCATTATTTTTAAACTTTGTGGTCCCTTATAATAACAAAAATATACTAGCAGTCCATCAAAAAAAAGGTTGGCAACCACTGATTTAAATAATCAATCTTCGGATTTTCTATGTGTGATTGCTTAAAAAAATGTTGTAATCGGTTTCCTCACAGTAATATTGTGACTAAACTTTGTCTGAAACTATTTTCTATGAATAGCATATCTAAAAGTCTTATATATCAAAACTACAAATTAATTATAAAGAGTATTAAAAAAACTAATATGCTAATTCTACGAGTATCTAACATTTTACAGAAACAAAATGTAAAGAAAGTACGATTAACTCGTCTCGTTAAGCTGTGGACAAAACTTAAAAAAAAAAAATTTTCTCACAATTATACAAAGTTTATAAAAAAAAAGATATTGTAGTTCCGTTAATAATAAAAAACAGGTTTTTAGTCTTCAGCACAAATCTTGTATTTGTTTAATAATTTTGAATGAAAACACTTTAGCCACAATTTAGAAATTAGAAATTAGTAACCTATTTATTTGAAGAATTTTTTAATTAAAAAGAAATAATTATTTATTAATAAATGTATTTATTTTCAATAAAGACATCATTTACTCTTCTTTCTCAATAGGGAACACATTCCTACTTAAAAATATAATATCCCATGCTTATCAGTATATAACCTACATTATGTTTTATTAAACTACAGAAATTAAATTTTAGAAGATCACATATCTTAAAATCAACTAAAACTAATCCCATATCTAATTATGAAAAATCTGAATTAAAGAGGTCATCAAACTAAGGGAAAAACAACAATGATTAAATTTATGATACTTTGTTAAAACAAAGATTCACTGTCACATATAGTATAGCAAGTACTTCTAATTACTACCAGATCTTGATATTATGCCACCAAAGCCTCGTAGAAATATTAACAATATTAATTAGATGTCTCATAATTTCTACAAGAAATTTTAATGGGTAATACAAGACTTTATATAGACAATATATAGACAATGCTATATATTGTGCATTTTTTACTGATTCATAAAGGATGCAGTAAAGGATTATATATAGCGTAGCACGTATGGTAATCAGAATATACGGTTTTGCTGACATACTATATTACTAAATACTAATATATACTAAATATATACTAAATACATACTAAATTTTTATCAAAATTTTCTATGATCGCTTTACAAAGCCCAATTGCAGTTTAAATTGAATTCATACTGATACACCTCTGTCAAGGCGTGGGTTGTCATGAACTTCTTAGTATAAACTATTGACTTAAGAAAACAAATTACATAATATTTAACATAATATTTACATAATATTTAACGACACAGAATGTTGCAGAATTAAAAATATACGATCAAAATTTGGTATTTTCTGAACCAGTCGAGATATTAAAATGAATTTTTCCTTAAAGTCTAAAAAGTTTTGTGACATTTTACCCACCACAAAACTATTTAATTCCTGATTTAGAAAATAACGAATTTTGATTGCCTACTTTTAATTTTTTCACTTTGTCCGGGTAAACTTAGTCTGCATTCTTCTGTCTTACGGTTTCTTGCGAGGATGTAGTGACAAAACGTGGAAAAAACGTAAACTGAGGTACATAGAAAGTTGTATGATGGATTGCCACTACAACCAACCAACCAACCAATCAATGTTAATTATTTGTGATCAATTAGGTATTGGTGTGCAAACCCACCACTTCAATTTTACATAACCTAACATATCATGACACGTATCACTATTCAAATAAAACAATCCTGATGATGACTCTCAAGGAGAGTCGAAATGTAGATTATAATAAAAAATGTTAAACCTAGAATTATTTAAAAAGAAGGGACCTACAGCCAGATCGAAAAATAAATTTAAATAATTTTATAAATTATTTACTTTTAATAACCTTTACTTTTAATCACCAACACACCTTCTCCTACAGTGTCCTGCCTTCGCAAGACATAGACTATCCTGCTTAGGGTCGCACTTTTTCTATTCACTAAGAGAGCTAGATTCTATTTCTATAGCTCATGTCAATGGCTTTGTAGCCAATACCAAGTGGTTATAGGGACGCGTGTCAAATTCTTTAGGGTATCACAATGGACCTCATGGTCTAAGTGAGTCTTCGGACGGCCCCAGTAACCTAACCTAACCTAACCTACTTTTAATAATCAATAATTGACGTAGCTTCAAATTATCTTAAAAGCAATCTTTAACTTAATCATTTATTGCTTTGAATACACTTCTTTCTACTGTCAGTAATGTTTATCTTTTCTATTGAAACTTAAATATCTTTAGTTTTCATAATTCGATTGCATAAATCATTAAGAGCCGTCTTTCTCAATGCACTACAAACGAAGCCAGAATAACTACTCAGTATTACCATTTTCACGTTTTAGGTAAGCCCATATATAACTATTGTAGCTGTTAAATACATTTCTTCTGTGCCGTGTATGGCAGTGACGCCGCCAAACAATAAACAACTTCAGCGACTACAACAAATGCAGACTCATTGAGAGCATAGTCAGCGCAAGCAAAAACAAAGCAACAAGTCACCTTTAAGCCACACTCTGGAGTCTTTATTCGCTCTCTCATTGTCTTCCTATTAGCTCTGGAATTCTTGGCTAACTCCACCGCATTGCAAGACAATAACAAATGAAAACAGCTGCTTGCCCATGTTAAAGGCAAGACACAAACAAAACTTGTATCTTTTATATTTATAACTCTGCTCTTTTACGAGCAGTTAAAAAGATACATTTGCGGTACATTTACCTTTTGCTTTGCATTCATATCTGGCGGTTTGAAGTGTTTGGCTTCTTCTCGACTTGTTCGTTTGCTCTTTGCTAGTTGAAATTTTTCTTTTACGCGTGCGCGACGTCATCACTTTGAATTGGAATTGTACTTAGAGTTTTTGTTTATGGTTAAAAATAAATCGGCAATTTTCATTCAATACTTCTTTCATTCTTTCATACTGACCTTCACATAGATACGTCTAAGAGGATTATATATAAAAAGTTTATTCTCATTTAATGAATTGTCTAAGTCATCGTAAACTACA